ACATTTTGTTCCCATCCATCCATTGCAACCCTCTCAATGTACATTTATCCCACTTCCTTTCTGTGTTCTGTTTCTATCTCGCCTTCTCTCTTCACCCTCTGCTCTTTGTCTTTCAGTAAATGCTGCCCTTTCATTGTCAGTGGTCGATTCATCTGGAGTGAGCCTGAGTCCAGTTCAAGACCTGAAAGGGAACAAGCTCTTGGGGGTGCAGGGGGAGGTTCTACCAGTCTCCATCAATCACTAGGCATGTCTGTCTCTTAAGATGGTGAGTTCTGGTACACGTTTTCTCCTACTCTCCTCAGGACCTCGTGTTGTTGTTGTTGTTGTGGGTTGAGTTGGTTCTGACTCACAGTGACCCACGTTCAACAGAATGAAACACTACCCAGTCCTATGCCAGTCTCACAATTGTTCTTGAGCCCAATGTTGCAGCCGCTGTGTTCATCGATCTTGTCAAGGATCTTTCTCTTTTGTGTTTCCCTCTTCTTTACCAAACATGTCTCCTGGTCCAGGGATTGGTCTATCCTGATAACATGTCCAAAGTACATGAGATGAAGTCTTGCTGCCCTTGCTTCTAAAGTGCACTCTAGCAGCACTTCTTCCGAGACAGATTGGTTGGTTCTCTCAACCATCCGTGGTACTTTCGGCATCTTTGCTGCCACTATAATTCCAATGCACCACTGCTTCTTCGGCCTTCCTTATTTAATGCCCTCAAGATCTGCCAGTGTGGTATTTTTAATACATATTTGCATGATTTCATAGAAAAATATTCTTAAGTTTAATATGAGTTCTCTACTTAGTTTTTCCAATAGGAGTTAATTGTTCGATCCCTCTTATAACGTCTTTTCCTACGTTCTTATCTCCTGAATGTCTAAATTCCATACAGCATGGGGCTAAGGCTTCAATACCCTCTTCAAGTGTAGTGTAAGGTAAGAGTGGAGATAAATTCACTTGTAATTTACTTTCTAATTATTTTTTGTCTCCTCCAGTTAACGTAGTGCCTGCACCTAGTTGGTGGCTCATAAATACCAGTGTGATTTTCCTTGCAATACATTTTATTATGCATCATCTAGTCCAGCATCAAGAGAAGGTAAGCAAGAGACTGATTTCAAGAAGAGGGATACAAACTTTGTTATCTAAAATGATTCCTTGCAGCAAAGGTCATTTTACTGCATATTAATTCACTCTGTGAACCTTAGTTTCCTATCAGAAAGTATAGTACATAGAAATGAAAGAAATACCCCTCATGTTGATACAAAGATAAAATGTTTTTCCTGTGCTATCAAATGCCTTCGATTTATAAATGTCTATGTTAACACATACAAGTGGTGTTTCTATGAATAGACTAGTCTTCAATCCTAATAGTAAATCCGTTCATTTGATGTGTGTCCTTCTCCATCTGATTTCTGAATGGCATGATTCTTATCAAATAGAAGCTATGCATTCCCAAGGTGGCAGCTAGAAGGTCCTCGTACTTTCATGGAATTCCCAGAGGAAGGTTATTCATAAAGATGAACATTTTCTCATTAGCTTATCTTCCTATGTGATTGCTATCATACTAATCAATTCATGGTGACTTTATCCAGGTTTTAACCTTCAATAATGAAATTAGATACAGTATCAAACACTACGAGGGCAACTTCACCAATCTCAATTCCCCTCAGCTCAGAGAAATACCAAGCGGCGAAGTGTGATTTAATTAGTTATCCTCACTTAGGACGGCTGACTACTCTTGTTTCACTGGACACTGATTGCTTTTCAATGGGGAAAATAGAAGGAAGGGTCTGCCTCATAAAATAAAAGAAGCAACAGTGACCTATAGAGAAATTATACTGCAGGTTGTTCTACAGTGAAGAGTCCTTCAAAGTGGTGTTCACGAAGTAGGCAGGTGCATTGAGAAACAACCACCACCACAACACTGCAGGTAGAAGGGGAGAGGGACGGGAGCGATGAGGTGGCATATGATGGAGAACGCATGTCACACGCAGAGCTGACTTACACGTCAGTGTTACTATGTACTTATCTGTATGTCGTGCTTATTTTTCAGTTAGAAAGTAAGTCTTCCGTTATCATAAAAAGGGATAAAACATTGTATATATTACATATTTATTGGGAGGAAAACTGTTTTATTGATAAATGAGAAAAAAACAAAACACAATTGTATTTACTTTATAAAGTAATTTAAAAAGAATGGATTTCACAAGGTGATTTTTTAATATGAAATATATTTTGAAATTAGTGTTACTTTTTTTCAGCTTCCAATTAAGAATACTTATCTCTCTAAATTGGTCAGCAGGTTTTGTCTGCTCTCACATAGATTGGCTGATTTATGAGGGGGCCTTAAAAATTATGAAAAATGGACATAAGAGATAATAGAAGTTTCCCATGAACTTTTGGAAACTCTCTTTTATTTGCTAAAAGTGGAATTCCAGTGCCTGGGCCTAAGAAATATAACCGTGATCCTTTCTCAAGTCTGCCAAAGTGAAACGTATTTCTCAAATGCTTTATAGGTCACTAATTTCAGAACCCATTACAGGATGTTTTGCTTAACATACTGGGTTACCCACAATTTTTAAATCCATTCTCCTAACTACATATAACCTAATCATTACACATATTTTTAGGGGAACGTCCCCAGTGTATGTGGATCACAGGGGCTGACAAACTGGTCCAAGGATATTTTTACACGGACCTTGTTCTAGGAATAGTTTTTACTTATTAAAACTAGTAAATAAAAAACCCTACACATTTAGAATATTTACAATCTGGTCCTTTATAGATCAAATTTGTTGATCCCAATAGAGGAAATTACTCATCTAAACAAATGAGTTAAAGAATTTTAAAATTGATACCATTATTAATCTAGAAAACCAGTCATTATTTAAACCAATGACTTAAGAACCAATTTTCCAGGTTGGTAAAACTAACTATCAATCAAGAACAGTTTATATAACTGGTATTTCTTAACTGTTTGAAATTGAGGGTCTCCATTCAGCCACAGGCAGCAGCATCACCAAATTAGACCAGGGCTGACCTATTTCACTATAGCATATACTGTTATTATAAAATATTCTAGGATGTATGGTCTTCAAAGACAGTAAACCTTTTTGCAATATTTTTTATACTTTAATTGCCCAAGACAATATATTACACATTCTTTTTCAATTCTGTAGTTATCTGTGATTGGTCTGCTTTGCCATCTGTGATCATGTAAACCTCCTGGCTTCTTCTCTTCTGCTTTTCAAGGCAGCTCAGGAGTTACATCATAGTCATGCAACGGTTATAAGGGTTAGTATTGTAATTTCATTGTTTAAATGGCGTTCAGATAAAATGACCCACTACATCAAGTTGATGAATTTCATTAATTATGCTTATCAATGAAATAAGGCAAATAATGTTTTGAGGGATTTCATGTCATTCTTTGCTTGTATGGAACCCAGAGATAGTAAATGCATTTGTAGCCATTTCCACTGAGAAACATGCTAATATCATTGAAAAACAAAAATAAGATCATAGAAACAAACAAACAAGTCAATTAAGAAAGCCCACTGGAAAATAAAGTGAATTTTGCTAAAAAATGGTTAAAAAAAAAAAAGCCAGGTAGTACTTAGGAATCAGTAGGATCATCATTAAAACAAAGAAAGACAGTGAAAACCTGGGGAGGGGAAGCTGTGTTAAACACAAAAGGCTATAACGTCAGATTTCCTGAGTTCAAATCCTTGCTCTGATTTGTAGTAAACATTTGGATTGGCTCAAATTTCTTCTCTGAGTCTCAAAGAAGTAATCTGTAAAATGGGAGCAATAATAGCCCTCACTTTATCTCACTGCTCTTTAAATGAAATTAGGTCGATGAGAATGGACGGGAGATGGATTGACACAGTGGTTGAGACAAGGGTCTCCACATTAACATCCAGTGTGAGGCTGGCTCACGATGGAGCAGTGGTTCATTCCGTTGTATATTAGCTGGCCATGTGTCAAAGCCAACCGGACAGCACCTAACACCAGCCACGCTAATGAAAGCAGAGCAGTTAGATGTTGGATATGTACTACACATATAATAATAATAATTTCAATGTCATTGCAGAGCAGAGCTGTTGATACTACATTGATTTGAACTAACACAGGCTACGTTGTCCAAATTCCTAATAAAACACCACCTAAAATAAAAAGTGCTCTGGAAGCACTTTTATTCATTAAAAATGACACCAATTTGACCTTGCATTTGTATAGTACTTAAGGTGCTTAGGTTCATTAGAGAGGGTTCTTGCCCTCTGCTCAAGCAGGAGTGGAAAGAGGCTCAGAGAGATCAGCATGACACTCAGGGCTTCAGATTTGAGCACCACTCCCATCTCCAACATCATAGTATAGGCCCATCTCCAACAATATACTACATTCCCATCTTCAACATCATACTATACTCCCATCTCTAACATACTACATTCCCATCTTCAACATCATACTATACTCCCATCTCCAACATACTATATTCCCATCTCCAACATCATACTATATTCCCATCTTCAACATCATACTATACTCCCATCTCCAACATCATACTATATTCCCATCTCCAACATCATAC